TATATATAATCTTTAGAATTAATTTACTTTTGGTCTACATCATCATTAATGCGGAAACATTATATCTCTACAAACGAAGCAGATTTTTTTTTTATTTATTTATAAAAAAGCAGAAAATTTTGACCAATGGTTAATTTTTTTTTCTTAAACTTATATCTAGCATGCAATATTTGGACTCAGAAAGATAAATTACTAAGGGCTTATCATATGGGACAGGTTGCCTTATTAATTCTTTTATTTGTTCCATTTTTTTTTATTAATCTTCCTCTATGAGTTAGTTAAATAACAAATATTTAATTTTAGAACTTGAATTTTAATAACTAAATACATTCTTTCTACTCCCTTTGTACTAATTTATATGGTATTGTTCTTTTTAGTCGGTACCCGCAGAGAATGAATATTTTTATATTTAAAAATAATTCAATTTTAAAATTTTTATTTAATCCTTAATGGGATAATTTATGGATACACAAGTATCTACGAATTGTGTTATACCATAAGTTTCAAAAGTTTTCTTTCTTTTTTAAACTTCGTGCCTAGCCAAGTTAAAACAACAGTAAATGAGACAAAAGGGGTAATATTTATGTACTCCTTTTGGTCCACAATAAGTGATCATTTTACCTTTTTTATTTTGGTCCAAAATAAATGTCCATTTACATAATCAAGAAGAAATTAATTTTATTTTTTCAAAATTTGCCCTTATTTACATATTCCAATGTGTCAAGGCAACAATTAATTAAGGTTAATTTCGTGAATACACATTTTTTTCTCTAGGAGTTCGTATTTCCTTAATGGGTGTGCCAAAAATAAAATGATCACTTATTGTGAAACTGAAGGAGTAATTCTTTAAAAAAATTATTCTCATTGATAGGAGTACGCACGCAACGCGCATAACCAAAAAATAATATAAACATTAAGTGGTAACCTTCTATATACAGTCAGACATCTCTGTAACAACATCCATATATAATAGTCATTCACTATAAAAGTCAAGTTTTCTTTGGAACCGACCTTTTAAGTTACGTTTTACCTCTCTATAACAATTTTTTTTTACCTATAACAACAATCATATCTATAGCAGAATGCTCTTTGTAAAATTACCCCTCTATATTAGCCATATAGAATCTTTAAGATTACAAATACTAATTCTAAAAATCTGCATACATTTTTTTTCATTGAACAAAGTTTTCATCTTGCATACATAAGATTTGAAGATTTGCACATAATATCTTTTTCATTGGACAAATGTCAAAAAATATTTGGATAGAATATTCAACTATTAAGCTCTTACATTGCGTTCAAGAGAAAGCTATCAGATACCCTTTTGTTGAAAGTTTGGACATAAATTTTCGCCGATTCAAGCATCATATCGCTATTAAGAGAATGGAACCTTCGAAACAAGCTACAATTACAAAGTTCTTCCATCAATCTTGAAAGAATTTATTTTTTAGTAATTTTAAAATGTACGCCTTAGAGTTTAAATCTTTGTACGTTTAGTTATGAATTTATTAATAATATATTAATTTTTTAATATTTAATTAATGAAATATGCACGTTTTTTGAGATTTTAAATTTGAATAATTTTTATATTTTATATGTAATATTAAAAAAATAATTAATTTGTGGATAATTTTATCTATAAAAAATATTTGAACGTCAAATGATGTTATAGATGTATAACAACCATTCACTATAAAAGTAAAAAAATATCGGAACAAACAATGTTATTAATATAGAAAGGTTTGACTGTTGATAAAAACACATTAATAGGTAAAAAAATCTTTACGCTATCTCAGTGTATAAAAGGTAAATAATCAGCAATAAGAATATAACATAAATCCTTTCACTAGTAACTATTAATCCAGCTTGTTAATCAGGTTTCTGTATTATTAAACAGGTAGAGAATAAATAATTTCCTCGAATAATTATGGGGATAAATTGGAAAAAATCTCTTATATCTTTTGGAAGTTAGAGCCCATTTGGATTAGTTGATTTGAAGTAGCTGATAAGCATTAAGTGCTGAAAAGTACTTTTAAGTGCTGAAACTGATTTAATAAATAAGCAGCTACGCGTTTGGATACAAGTGCTGAAATTGATAATAAGCTGCTACAGTATTTGATAAAAAAGTGCTGATAAGCTTTTTTCTGTTAAAATGACTTAAATAACCTTATAAGTGTTTACACCTATAATGGCGTAATATCTTCAAAATTTTAGATTGCAAATCGATCCAAATACAAAATATTTTATTTGTCATTTTATTTTAAATACAACTGTGCTTAGATAAGATAAATTTTATGATAAATATAATTTATTTTATGAGAAGCATATAATCATAAGTTATAATAATTAATAAATTGATAAAAATTTCTCAGTAAAAAATAAACCTAAATAGGACAAAATATTTAAAGAGAAACAAACACTGTCTTTATCAGCACAACACTTAGAAAGCAGCATAACAAAATATTTGACATGTCCTCATTTATTATATATAGTTCAAAGATTAATACACAATCACATAGATATAAATATGCAAAGGAATAGAGAATTTGCTTATCTTAAATAGTCAATGAGCATTGCAGACTTGAAGAGGCGGAGGGAGGGGGTTAGGTTGAAATAGTACTTGAGGCAGTGAGTATTGATGCAAGAGTTTTGTTCTAAAAAAGAATATTTAAGAATAAAATAGTAAAAATTTTGGTCAAACTTAAAGTGCTTATAAGCTAAAAATTTATAAGATGGGGGTGACCAGCTTATGGCTTTTGACTTATTTTTGACTTATAACCACTTGGCTTATATGCACTTTTAACTTTACCAAATGGTAGATGAGCCGAAAAGTAATTATAAGCTACTTTGACTAGCTTATAAGCTTAGCCAAACACCCTCTTAGTCTTTGAAATTCACGAGAAGACCCTACCCTCTGATTCCGTCAATATAAGATTCCAATGGAGTAGTATTTATATTTTCCAATTCAGCAAACCAAACTTCGAAACTCGCGTTCAAATTCAGCTCTCTTTGCCTGTCATCATAATTTCAGAATTTTGATTTTATCAGCTCCATATTTCGTTATTTTTTCGCCATGACAAGTGAAGAACTTCTAATTATCGATCCTTTAGACCTCCAATTTCCATGTGAGTTTCTTCCTTTATTTACCTTTTAATTTTAATACTCGTATGATTCAATTTTTTTTCTGGAAAAATCGGAATCAGTTTTAAATTATGTTCTCCTAGGGTTTTGATTATTCTCTTTTCTTTTGTTGTTGTTTTTGTTATTTGGAAGTCGAACTCAAGAAGTCAATTTCGAGCTCTTTTGAACTGATCAATAAGACTGATAATCACGTTGCTTTCAAGGTATATATATTCTTACTTAACCTCTATTATACTGACGTTCACGTGCGGAGTTGTTCCCCTTTCTGTTTTAATTTCTGGTGTTTTCGTTATTTTTGAAGAGAGAGATTGTGGTAGGTTGATTGTGAGCGTCAGGAGCGGATTTAGGGGGTGGAAGGGGGTTCCGACCCCCTTCATTACGCCGTACAAATATGGCAAAATTCGTTTTGTGACTCAATATATTATATTTTGAATTCCTTTAAAGGTGGTTTCAAAACCTTTGTGAGGTTGCTGGTTCAATTTCCGGCGGCCATAGTTCCTTCTAATTTTTTAACTTTTTCTTTTTTGAACCCCTTAGCGAAAATCCTGCCTCCGCCACTGGTCAGCATAATTTATAGTCCAACTATAATTAATTTTAAGGGAGTACTGACTAGAGCGGGATGGAATAGAGAATTGTATAGTCGAGGACTGAGTGCTGAGAAATCATATAGCCGAGTCCTACTAGTTTGGGCCGGAGATAGAAAAAGTTTACCTGCTCCGGTGTTTGGACCAAACTATTGAATACACGATAGTTTTTTTAAAAAATAAATTTCCAAACCCAAAGAGGCTTTTAGAAGGTTAAAAGGTCCGTTGAGTGCCTCAAGGCAATGTCATAATAGATTCGAACACTTGCTCTGGATCGACTTCCAGATCATATTTGCTCTAGTAAATAACTAAAGAAAATAGATAGATGAGAGATATAAAAATAGAAGAGAAAGTAGGGTTGATTATATAAATATGTATCTCACTTTAATAGTTACTTCTAAAGGTTTTACTTGGTTTCGTGCAAACATTAGGTGCGGGTAAGTTTTACCTATTTTGTTTTTAAAGAGGAGAAAAGGCTGAAGTCCTTATCTTCACTCAATTCTGAAATATTTTATTATGATTTATGAGGAAGATCTTCCTTGATAAAGGAAATGGTCATTTAAATGTTAGTGTTATAAATTTGTAATATTCTGGCTAAGGGGAATTTAATACTGTTTTGAAAAGGCTAAATTATGTACTCTTTACAAACTTTTATTAGGTAAAGACAACCAATCCTAGGAAGTATACTGTCAGGCCGAACAGTGGAATTGTTCTCCCACTATCAAGGTCCAATGTTACAGGTGCTTTTCAGTTCTCTGTGATGGGTCTTTTAGATTTGATGGATGTCATTTGATGTTATTTTTGGTTTACTTTTGTTGATAATTGGATTTAGTTACGATGCAACCGCAAATGGAGTTGCCTCCGGATATGCAATGCAAAGACAAGTTTCTTGTACAGAGTGTGATTACGAACCCTGGGTCTACCCCTAAAGATATTAACCCAGATATGGTATTTTAGCTTATAGATTCTTTTTGTTTTAGCCTTTTGTAAAGTTTATGTTTTGTAGTTGACTTTGTACATTCCAATCTTATTCTTTTCTTTTTCTGAAGTTCAACAAGTCCGGAGGAAATCATGTTGAGGAATGCAAACTAAAAGTTGTTTATGTTTCACCACCAAGAAAACCATCACCAGTCCCTGAAGATTCTGAGGAAGGGACTTCACCAGGAGCTTCTGAAACTGTAAAATGACAATCTAAATTAGTTTTCCACTCTCTTTTTCTGCATCTTTTTTAATCAATTAGAATATACCATTTACTTCTAATTCATCTGTTCATCATGGTAGGGACATACATTAGTTGCGAATGATTTATTTGTTGCTTATTACAGGATTTACAAGAACATGGTGAGTCTCAGGATAACTCCACTAAGGTATGTTATGATGGTCATTTAAAGCATTGACGTTCGGAAACTGTTAAGTCATTAGACATAGAAGTTTTCTGGGAGAAATATACTTCATCTGAGCTGTAAATGTAGAGTACCTTCTGGACTCAACGGGTTTAATTGATGGTCTCAACCAGTGAAGATGAGATTGGGGACACCTTAAGGGAACTCTTTGAATCACTAGAAAGCTTAATGAACCTTATTAACCTATTAATCTTGGTGACAAGGAGAAGAATCAATTCTTTCATATCAGATTATGCTTTTTCTGTTCGAAAAATTTGATTAGCTCCTTTGAGATTATTTTAGATTTGGTTTCCCTAGTGTTTCCATCTTCTCAGGTAGTTCTTACCTTCAAGAGGCTCATATATGTTGATGCTTTGTAACTTACACTGTTAGGAAGTTGATTTGGATCCTCTAACTCCATCACTCTTCTTGTTGTCAAGTTAATCTGTTTGTTAGATGTGAGGTCACTATATTAACCCGTGGAATGCAAAAACAGTTTTTAGGAAACAAAACAGAAAACCTGGAAAGACTTTTTCTCGAGAAACCCAGTATCATTACGCAATAATTCACCTTCATAATGTGACAAGTTGAATTGTATTTTCCTTCTATTTCAACCTCTTAATCCAACCTTCAGTTTCCAACAATTAATGCTAACAACATTTCATTTGAAATCGATGGTCTGCTACTTCTGTTGGTAGTCAGCAACTCTACACTCTTCTTGTCGCGTCCTCTTTCTTTTGACAAATGGTGCAACCTACCAGTTTGGATTCTCTTGTTTGTTGAATAAAAGGTGACACCCGAACCTGAACAAAAAGAAATTTGTTTGTTCTTTTTACCTACTTCCCCAACTTGCTCAGATTGAGGCGTAGTAGTTTTTGTTGTTCTTTTCATCAACGTATTTTTGATCCCAGAAATTGTTTAGTTAGGTAAGGAATTAGCTCAAGTTTGCATAAACAGATACAGGTGAAAAACAAGTTGAAGAAACCAACACTAGTTTGTGATTGTGGAATGTTTCTTTAGTATTTCAGGATCATCTCTCCTGAGAAGGATATAAATTTGATATTATTACATTCGCAAACACATAATTAAAGGAGAGAACTTAAACAGAAGAATGGTTGAAGAATAAATTATATATGCCTATGCTTGTTTTTCTTCCAGAAACAAGTAATGCCTCATCATTTATCTTTGGATTTGGGAAGTGATAGTCAAAGAATTTTGTTCTTTCAGCATATTTTACCTTATCGAAAAAAGAATTTTGTTTTTCCAGCATGCTAGAATCAAACTTATTGTCCTCTCACATTTCCAGTTTTTCTTGAAACGCCAGTAGATGTGTCATATTCTCTTTTTGATAAGTAATTCATATCTTGGAATCACTGCAGGCCAGAGAACTAATTTTGAGGTTGATGCAAGAGAGAGATTCCATTATTCAACAAAATGCCAAGCTCAACCGAGAACTGGTATATGATTTTTCTGCGTGCCTGGTCAATGGTTCTTGAGTAAATTGATGTTTCCTTTTGCTGTCTGCTAGTTTATGCTTGTTTTATCCCTTTAAGGATGGCTCTTCAGAAAATTTATGTGCATGGTAGATCAAAAGTCATTAATCCCCAGATATAGCACTAATAAAGTCCGTCAGCGCACTAGCACTAACCAAATAATTTAAGTCTTGAAAGGCGTGTTTAGAGAAAATGTGGTAGTTATTGGAGATGAGGAATCTTATCTTCACGATGTAGAACGAGTTGGTTTTAAGAAATTTTTTTGTTCAATCAGAAGCAGATAGTTCGTGGACTATTAAGTTTTGGTGTGATAACCACGCTGGTGATTTGGCGTAAGCTGGGAACTTCATAGCAAACTTGGGCCTTTATCTGGATTTGCTATAACACTTGTTTGAATTTAGTTTGTATGCGCAAAGAAAAATTTCCATCTGCAGTATTGACATTTTGTCTAGGATGATTTTATCATTTGGGTGCTATTTGAAACCATTGTCCAGGAGCTTCTGAGGCATGGACGTCAAGAACATCGTACTGGAGTTCCACATTGGTACATCTTGGTGGTTGGCTTGCTTGGTATCCTTTTGGGGTACATTGTCAGAAACTTTTGATGACCTCAGGTCTGAGAATAAAGTTTCTCTTTCTGGTTGTGGCTGGCAGGTGTGGGGTGATTTTGAATACTTACTTTCTAGGCAAAATTTTGTACATTATTTGAATCCGAATAGCTCGGTAATTCTGAATATTGTGCCAAAGGATTGGGTGAATATTTTCAAAGTTGTAGGATGATAAAACGATAGTCGTGTTCCCAACTTTGCATTTATGAGGGAAATCAGAAGGAAAAGAAGAAAAAGAAAACCACATTGAAGTGGAACCCCTGGTCTTAGCTCATTGGCCTCGCTGCATTGAAATCATGTAGATGTTTTTAGTTTCGAAGCGTGTATGGTTTTGGTTAAATAGCTAACTCTGAAAATATTCAGGCTGCTAAAGACAGGTATCCGTTTATGTGGATCTGAAGACCATGATACTCAAAGTTGATCCACGAGAATAGACACTGTTAGTATTTCAAGAAAATAAATGGATTGATGAAGAAAACTGAATCCAAAAATGTTCATTGTGGATTGACTAGTTGTGGTTGATTCAAGTTTGGTTTCCCACAGTGATGAGTTTATTTCATTAGTTCAACTGGAATTCAGCTCGATTGGAGTCGATCAGTCTCCATAAATATAGCTCCATATGTACAGAACCATTTAATTACTGGGATGGAACTTCTTTTTTTTTCACGAAGTTAACAGGGGACGAAAGGAACTCAGCTTGGAACCTCACTCTGAAGTTCGAATGATGGCTTATGGACCGAGGCGCTATGTCTGGGGAAGCTATTCGTAACTGAAAGATGAAAGTATTTGGCATCCCCCTAACTAAATAAAACTCAAGACATATTCCACAGAGAAACTTTTACAGCCAATTTGCTTCTCCGATCTCTCAGAGAAACTCTTTGATACACTTCTGAAGCCATAAAGCTATGTATGTGTATTACAAATCTAGCTTAACTAGTAATACCAATACTCCAAATTGGATGTGGTTAACTATTCATTTTTTTCTTTCTTTTCCTGAATGGAGAAAATAATAAAACACCAGGAACAAGAACATGATTGTCAACATGTAATAGGCTGATTGTCAAGCTATATGTACTTAATGAATGTAATGTCAAATGACTTTTACGAAGATACAAAATCCAAGTGGACCAAATAAAATCATAAAGCTTGCACAGTATTTAGGAGAAAGCGTTGTTAATTGCAACTGGGGCAACGTTAATGCTGGTTAGAGTTCGATAACCTTAGGAAAACTTGTATAATTTTATGAACAGAGTTACACCATTGATCAAGTAATAGACGCAAAAGACAGAGAATCTCCCTTAATCATTTTTTTTGGATAGCTAGAATAGACCTGGAAAACAATGAATTAAATTATGCACAAGTTTAGAGTCAAAAAATATATTATTACAGCAAATTAATAAGAATACGCAGGCAAAGCACTAATGACATGAGCAATTTCTACATCACAAATGCAAGCATCACAATGAAAATCGGCATCTTCGTCGTCACTGTCAATGGGAGGCCAGCTACTCCACCCATTGGTGCGACTGCGTTGATGTTGGAGAGTGCAACGAGTGGGTCTTTGTCCCAAGACATGAGGATTTTTCACCCAAATATTTTCCAAGATTTCTATTAAACTCTTCCGGCAATCCCTTGCTATTGTTCTTAGTGGCTCTCTTTTTTTCATCCCGCCGATCAACATTACTCCTTTTTCCTTAACGTCACCACCCATAAATATCATTATTATACCAATCACATACAACGCTCCCAGATGCCCTCCATTTGCTGCTTTCTTCAGAAGTTCCTTAGCAACTTCTGTCCTTTCGTTTTTAAACAAGTCCATCTGATCACAATAACAAGCAAATTTTAATAATCACACCTCATTTTCAAATATAATCTTCCGCAACAAGGAGATCAATAAGACCTTTACTGTGAATAGAATTCTTTTTCCCGTTTCAAATAATTAAATAGGCATGCTAACTAGCTAAGGATAACTCTTTTTCTAGCACATATTTTCCTGTCTTTAATTTTTCCTTTAATCACTGTGTTTACTATATAACAAACAATAGCCTATTGGTAGTTTTTGCATTAATTACTTTCCAAATGAGTCGCATAATTCCATAGATGCATGCAAAAGAATACTACTACTATATTTTTATGGCAGGAGAAGGTTCCGTTCTTAAAAGACTTCTTCTAAAATTCCTGTTATGGTCTCTATTTCAGGACTTATTATTTTCTATATTGATCCGTTGTGTTTGGTATATGTCATATGTGATGATCAGTGTTCCAGAGCTGAGGAGTTGCAAAAACTTGTAGTAATTATTTACGGTTAGTCTAATTAATTGAGCATATGATGAGCAGTAGAAAACGTTAGAACAGGAAAAGAATATTGATTCAATCATTAGGAATTGAAGATTGGTAACTTAAAATAAAGTGTAAATTACGTACCACGCCTTTCCTATATAAAGCTTCTGTATTTCCGCTTTCTCTGCACAGCTCCATGAAAGAAGTAAGTTTGTTTATCTTCTCTTGCTTGTTCCTCTCCCATGAAGGTTCAATAGGAAAGTCTGCCATTGTTGCATTCTGATATACGTAACGTTCCTTTGCTATTTCATGAAAAACCTTGCAACTAAAATATCAATCGGTTAGGAAATTGCTCCTTGTAAAAAAGATTGTTATTCATAAGAGATATATAGATATATATACCTTAGCTTGATATTGATGTAACTTTTAAATGAACAAGAAGCAACCCTTGCAACAACTTCAGTAAGTAGCTCATTAGGAAGAGATTCAATGTTGGAAGAAGAAAACTTCTCTTTTGTGTCTTTGTTATTTCTTCTTCCTCTTCTCTTCATTATTTTCCTTGAACGATTCGTCACCATTTTCTTGAAGGAAGAACGAAGACAAGAATTATGTCTAATAGTATGTGGTGTTACGTGTTATTTAGGCAGATTTCTGTTTATAGTTTCTGTTTCTTTCAGATTTCTTTGTTTGAATGGGATTTGGCATTAAAATAAAGAACTAAAACCGAAAAGGAAATTGTTTAGCCCCTTTAATATTTTCTTATATCAGGTGAAAAAAGGAAAAAGTGTGCGGTACCACTACCACCCATTCCTTCTCCTATTTGTACTTGGATTAGTGCTTTTTTGCCACTTATACTAAAATTAAGCTCCTTTTTTGCCGCTTATTTAAAAAAGAACTAGAATGCTGAAGGATCAGTACTGTTTTAGAAACTTCTATAGGAGCTTTATTTTTAAACATCTATAAAGTTTATTATACGGCAAAGGGTTAAATATACCTCAATACTTTCGAAAATGGTCTAAGAATATTCCTCGTTATACTATTGGGTTATCTATACCCCTGCAGTCATACTTTGAGTTCAAATATACCCCTCATTTAAACGGAGGGACACGTGTCATCGTCTTGTTGGTCAATTCTGAATATCTCTTAATTAATTAAAAAGACTCATTACTCATACCCGAAAAATAATTTATTTTTTTTGTAAAAACTGAAAAAAACTAAATTATCTTTTACAAAAAATTGAAAAAAACGAAAATATTTTTTTTCCAGTTTTTACAATAAACAATGCTTTAAAAAAACTGAAAAATATTTTCTAAAACAATATTTTTGTTAAAACTGGAAAAAAGCTGAAAATTAATTTTCTAAAGCAATTAAAAACTGGAAAAAAAATGAAATATTTTTAACTAAAAACTAAAAAAAAATATTTGTTTTTTCAGTTTTTACAAAAATATTGCTTTAGAAAATTGCTTTTTAATTTTTTTTCCAGTTTTTACAAAAATATTGTTTTAAAAAATATTTTTCAGCTTTTTTTAAAGCAGTTTTTTTTTTTATAAAAACTGGAAAAAAACATTTTTTCATTTTTTCATTTTTAGTAAAAAACAAAATCAGTTTTTTCCAATTTTTACAAAAAATATTGCTTTAGAAAATTGATTTTCAGCTTTGTTTTTTCAGTTTTTACAAAAATATTATTTTAGAAAATATTTTTCAGTTTTTTAAAGTAGTTTCTTTTTGTAAAAACTGGGAAAAAAATATTTTCGTTTTTTTTCAGTTTTTAGTAAAAGTTTTTTAGTTTTTTCCAGTTTTTACAAAAAAAAAATAAAATATTTTTCGGGTATGGGTAATGGGTCTTTTTAATTAATTATGAGATATTTAGAATTGACCAACTAGACGATGACACGTGTCCCTCCGTTTAAATGCGGGGTATATTTGAACCCAAAGTATGACTGCAGGGGTATAGATAACCCAATAGTATAACGATGTATTTCTATTTGTGGGGGCTACGTACGCACGAGGTGATGAGAGTCAGTGCGCAGCTACTATTATGCTTATGACCGGGTAGTCTAGGACCCATATCATGTTGTACTTGCGATGTTTGCACCCTACTTGTTAATTTAATTATTTAAGACATTTAGAAACACGATAAAGGAATTGTAAAAAGGTTAAATTTTATTTACTTGACCGTTAAATGAGAAGTTGAAATTTTGAAATATTTGCCCCTTAATAAATCTTGAATTGGTTGTTTAATGTGTTTTCTCTTTTGTGGAGCGGGCCGAACGCCTCGGTAGCAGATAGATGGATCTATGGTTCGTGTCGTTCGACCCTCGACAGTACACAGCTTAAATATTATATTGAATCGGGCCGTACGACATCGGCATGATTTGAGCATGATATATTTTTGGAATTGATAATAATTGATATTGCTTTCATTGGCCCGAGATGCAAAAAATTTTAAATGACGAAAATAAATTTGGAAATTTCTTATGAACAAAAGAATTGTTTATTTATTTCATGATATTGAGCTTACAGCCGTTCTACGTAATCCATGCTTAATTAAATCATTGATATTTTATTTATAGACCATAGTAAGTGTCGAAGTCGACCCCTCGTCACTACTTCTTCGATGTTAGGCGAGATACTTACTCGGTACGCATTGATTTACGTATTTATACTACACTTGCTGCCCATTTTTGTACATGTGCATATATTTCTAGTGGCTTTGTGGGTACAAAGGCGCGGTTATTGCGGGGACTTAGGTGAGTTGCATTCCACGTTACGAGTCTGCAGCCAGCAGAGTCTCCTTCAGAGTATTTATATTTCTCATGTCCGAATTTATATTCCGAATAGATGTTGTATTTTATTTTACATTCCTAGTTGAGGCCCATGCACTTGTGACGGGTTTTGGGGTGATTTGGATTGTCCTGTATTGAAATTGTTAAAAATATTATTATTTATTCTGTAAATTCCATCTTTTACTATTTACTTGAAGGAAATATGATTTCAAAAATATTAAAATGAGAACAAAATTAAGTATTTATTTTTGGCTTGCCTGACAGCGGTGTCCGGCGCCATCACGACCTTTAATGAATTTTGGGTCGTGACAATGTGCATGTGGGGTGCGAGTTAATTGTTGTGTTGTGATGAAATGCGTAGGCAGCGGTATAAGGGTGTTGTTATTGATGCGCATATAGCGAGATAAAGGGGTTTTATGCGCGTGTTGCTAGTAAGGGGATTTACTTCATTCTTAGCACACCCGGTGAGATAAGGGGGCTTATGCGCGAGAAGCTGTTTCGGGAAAATATATTCAAAATGTGAGGCTCACGCAACGTCATAAGGAAGATTTGTGATTTTTTACTTGTGACTTATGATTATGAGGTGTGGTACCTCAGGGTGATTCTTGTTATAATCTTATATTGGAACGACTTGATTATTTAGACTGTCATTTATTTCCTTAATTGTTTTCACTTGTATTTTAACTGCATTTTGATTATTTTGTAATTTTTATCACATGTTTACTCTTGTTGCTATTATTAATTTTGCTTCCCATCATTAACTTTATACTTATATTCTGCATAGGTTTTTATGTCAGGTGAGTGCCTTGACTTGAACTTCGTCAGTAATCCACCGAGTTTAGTCTTGATACTTACTGGGTACCGATTGTGGTGTACTCATATTACGCTTATGTATATTTTTGTGCAGATCCAGGTACCTCTGAGCGTGCTGGTCGGTAGAGAGTTATTCTGAGATTGATGTGCAGACTTCAAAGTATACCTGCTATTCGCGCTCGCAGGCCTCGGAGTCACCTTCTATTATCTTTCATTAATATTGTCATTGGAATTCCAGAACAGTGTTGTATTTAGAGAATTCTAGTGTATTTCAGTAGAGCTTATGACTCCGTACTTTCAGTTTTGAGAATATACGACTATTGATTAGTTTCAACTTTATTATGCATTTATTAGTTTAATTTAATAACTAAGTTGTTTATTTCTGTTAAATCTCAGCATGTGTTAGACTTACCTAGTCCTAAGAATTTGGTGTCATCACGATTCTTGAGGTGGGATTTTGGGGTCGTGACAAGTTGGTATCAGCGCTCTAGGCTCATAGGTTCTACGAGTCATAAGCAAATTTAGTAGAGTCTTACGGATTGGTACGAATACGTCTATACTTATCTTTGGGAGGCTACGGAACTAGTAAAAAATTCCACTTCTTTCACTCTTTATCGTGCGGATTTGTTGATTTCGTAATCTGAGCCTTTGTCTTTCTATTGGCTCCCAGATGGTGAGGACACGCACTACTAGATTAGCTTACCAAATACCCATGCCCCCTACTAGAGACGTGAGAGCTAGGGTCGAGGTAGATGCCAAGGAAGGGGACGTGCTACAGCTAGAGCACCTGTCAGAGCAGCGACTCGGGTAATATTAATAAATTTCTAGTAAACAATAAAAAGTTAAATAAAAAGGTACGGGAAAGTGTTCTTAAAATTAACAAGTCTCCAATGTAGTTGAGTTAGATAGTAATGAAATCCAAGAAAAAGAAGAACTCTGCATATTAAAAAATTTAAGAATTAAATTCTTGAATAAAGAAGTACATATTTTGCTTTAGGTCTCTTAATAAAGTTTGCTTTAGGCCAAAAATATAATTGAGCTGTCCTGGTATTCTGCATATAACGCTGGCTTACTGAATTTAAGACGGAGGGAGACTATCTATAGTTTAAACTTTGGAGGAGAGTTTTACTTGTTATGCAAATAGAAGGGGAAAGATGATTTTCACTCTTTTTTGTTTTGGGTAGTTAATATCTACTGCGTTTGCTATTATTTGACCTCCAAGGCTATTAATAATCAAATGAATTGGACTAAAGTAATTAGTAAGCATTAACTGATCTCAATTATAAAGTGAGAACTACGTTTGTAACTTCATACACCTTAAATCCTACCGCACTAACGTAGGCATTAACTTTTATTAGCACTAGGACAAAAGTTTACATGGAAGAAATACACATAATCATAATTGTCCGATACTAAGCTCCTTGATATATTAAGAAAATGGTTTTCCAACTTCTTCTCTTTCCGTAAAATTGGGTTCTCATGATCTTTTTACTAACAATATCACCATATATGATATATGTAGTACCAATACATGCAAGGAACCATCCTCTCTATTATTTGCTCTTGTTTTTCGTTCTCATTTGGTCTCTTTGGAACCAAATTAGCACCTCTGACTTCTGACATCATATTAGACCTCTCCAGCTGAATGACATAGTATTCGTATTAATGGATATTGTCACCCTCCCAGTTTCTCTCCGTAGGATATCGTGATGGCATCTAGTTTAAGACTAGGTAAGCCTAACACCTATCGAAATGATAACAGATTCTACTAAACATCTATTAAACATGAACTAGAAATTTTGATATAAGCCAATAATCTCAACATGATACAGTATCCCAAAACCGATAGTACAAGTCATAAGCTTTCCTAAGAGTCGCTAGAAATAACAATACATCACTTTCCCAGAATAATAGAAAACATTGAAAATAAAATACAACATAAGGTGACTTCGGAGCCTGCGAACGTGCAACAGGTGTAC